CTGTAAGAGCATGAATCCCATCACCTCCCAGAGGCTTCACCTCCACATTCCATCATCCTGGGGATTAGGTTTCAATGTATGAATTTTTGTGTGTGTACAGGGAAAGGGGACATAAACATTGTCTATGGAAATGGCTAAATTACATTTTCTGAATAATAAACATAATATATTGTTAACAACCACTGACTGAGCATCTGCTGGAACAGGCATAGTAGGAGGTCAAGTTTGTATTAAACTACTCATCCTAACAATATCTTGAGTGGCAGGAGCCATCAATTCCACTTTTCTATTATGGAAACTGTGGCCACACTGGGGCCAACTTACCCCTTCCTCATAGCAGGCACAGTGTCTCGGGCCCCCACTGTATTTCTGAGGTCCCACAAATAGATTTTCACTTCTTTTAAACTCAGAGGAAGGAAATGGACTTTTAAGGTCAAAGATTATGCTTGTCAGCTGAGCGCGGTGGCTCACGTCTGTAATCCCAGCGCTTTGGGAGGCCGAGGCGGGCAGATCACAAGGTCAGGAGTTCGAGACCTGCTTGGCCAATATGGTGAAACCCCGAATCTACTAAAAATACAAAAATTAGCCGGAAGTGGTGGCGGTCGCCTGTAGTCCCAGCTACTCGGGAGGCTGAGGCGGGAGAATCACTTGAACCCGGGAGACAGAGGTTGTAACGAGCTGAGATCGGGCCACTGTACTCCAGCCTGGGAGACAGAGTGAGACTCTGTCTCAAAAAACAAAAAGAAAAAAAAAAAAGAAAAGAAAAAAAAATTATGCTTGTCATAATACCAACATAGTAATTGAATATAATTTTTTTAAACACATTTTGCAAAGAAAGGATCCTATGAAAGAAAGAAGCAGTGCCTAGGCCCTGTGACTGTCATATTGTGGGGACCAGGCTAGGGCTCAGGGAAGTTGCAGCTCATTCAAAGCCGTGCAGGAGAGATGGGCAAAGCACGACCCACACAGACCCAAACCTGTGCTATTTTCCTGCCATACCTTGAGGCCTCATTCTCAATTGGCTTTACCCTACACTCTAGCTTTCAGCCTCAGCATCATTTCCACAGAAACAGTGAGTGCCTAAAAACTGGGGCACTGCATCCTTAATTTTAGCACCCCATCTGCTCCTGGATAACGACAGACAGAAATGCACAAAACCTTCTTTTCAGAGAGCCTCATCCCAGGATTCCTGAGCAAGTGTGCAGGCCCGCCCAGGGCTTCATGAGAGTGAGCGCTGCCCTGACCTTGTTAAAGTGGACAGTTCAGTCGAGCAAAAGCGCCCCTCCCTGTTCCATTAGGCTGAGTGTGGAACTGGCCCCCTGGAACTCACAGATAATGAGCAAGTGGAGAAACAGGTGGAAAGCAATAGTGCTGGAGTTTGCACACTCCACTGCTGCTCACCAGCCACTGCTGTTCACCAGCCACTGCTGCAAATGAGAACCTTTGGGAAGTTTGGCCTTCATTTCCCTGCACACTGAGAGGTCAGTGTGAATAGGGGCCATTTTACATTCAAGGCACAAGACACTTTCCTCCAGTAAATGGAGTTTTAATAAAGCCTTTGTATGATTCCGGGTATCACAACAACTAAATCAGATCCTGGATGCATTAGCCTGGGCCCTGGTGAGTTTCCCTATGGCATTTCACTTATGATGCGATACTTACTACCTTTGGCTGAGTTTATCATCAGGAAGAGGTTTCTAAATTATCGTAGACAGCATCTGCTTAGATAAAATTATGTGTCCCCTCTTTGAACCTCACTTTCCCCAGTGGTAAAACGAAAGACTTAGGTTATTTCTAAACTCTCATCTAGTTCTGGATTTTATATTTTGAACGACTACTAAGGGAGAGACCCCAAGTTAAGGGCTGGGGTCGTGTTTGGGGGATCACATGAGATTATGGATGGAATAAAAATGTGTAAATCTTATTCACCTTTCTTTTGACAGAGAATAACAACAGTCAGTTATGAAGGAACAACTGTGGACTCAAGGACTTTAGATACTTCCCTCTCCCTCACCACAATATTAATGTTGCAAGATAAATTAGTAGTAACATTTCAGAGATGAGAAATTTAGGCCCAGGGAGGTTAAGAAACCATAACGTTCAGTGCCAGGGATTCAGCTGAAGGCTTGACTTCGCCTTGCAGCCTTCATTATTTTTACCATCACCATCATCATGTTTATTGCCATTGTATTATAGTCACAAGAAAGATGCATTCACATGGACAGCAACACAAACACAGTCAATACCAAGTTATATTGGCTTGAGGTAAGGTGTCCACTGATGACCTTTGCCTGGATATAGATTGTGTAGGAAATAAAGGGTGTGGGACATTCCAAGTGACAGAGTATCCAGAAAAGTTAACTTTTCCAGATGAGTTAAACTGAATCTTCATTTATTGGGAGCAAGGTTCAGGGCTATAAACATGCTCTCCAACATAACTGAGTTTCTTTCCTCCCCTTCAGACAGGTTGCAACCAAGAAGCTGTGTGTGTGTGTGTGTGTGTGTGTGTGTGTGTGTGTGGTGGTTGGCGGGAGGTGGTGAAAAACAACTCCTGTCACTCTTAAGTCAGCTACACAGAGTTTGATGTCTGATTTTTTTTCTTTTTTTCATTTTCACAAAGCTCGACTTTCTAAGCTTGGGGCATTTGATGACTTAAATGACTGCCTCAGTTTCCCAGTGTGCTCAGGCTTCAGGAATCCAAGCTTATCAAGTCTGTGGCAACACCTAGAGAAGGAGGATAAGTTTAATCTTGGCACCCTCAGATTGAGCTTTGTACCCACGTGGGACTGCTCAGCAATTGTGATGAGAGAGTCCACTTTGTTCCATCATCCCACCTAGCCCACTGTGTCATTAGAAGAGCAATAGCCATTACGGGGCCGTGTTGCCCTTCTCACGCTGGGCGACACTTAACAGCTGTCGTTTTCTTGGGTCCATCACGTGAGCATATTGGAGCAATGGGCTTTTGGAGTCACAAAGACATTTTCAAATCCGAGTTCTGCCGCTTGTCTGTCAACCTGTTTATCATCTATCTATATTTTTTAGAGATGGGCTCTTGCTCTGTCACCTAGGCTGGAGTACAGTGGCACTGTCATTGCTCAGCGCAGCCTCAAGTTCCTAGGCTCACACACTCCCCACCTCAGTCTCCCAAGTAGCCGGGATTACAGGAGTAAGCTACCATGCCCATCTCTCTATCTGTATTTTCTCGAGCAAGAACTTTAACTCTCTGCATTTAAGTTTCTTATCTGTGAAAGAAACTATTATGGAAATGAAACTATTAAACCCTTGCAATTGTTCTGCAGAGGAATGACAGTAGCATTTTGAAGCTAGCTCACTACAGTGATGGGAGCAGGGTTAGTGGGATAGATGAAATGAGATTATTATTGTTCTTTTTTCTTTTACAAATGAGGAAAGGGAGCCTCACAAAAGTTTTCCTTGGAGTGATTGGCGAAGCCAGCCCGGAAAACCCTAACCTTCTGGGCGCAATTGCTTACTTCCTGCTAGACTGGGAGCCACTGAGCAGCAAGGACTCTGCCATACTTTCCGTCTCTAGGGCCTGGCTCTGGCATCCACTTTGTTGATCTCATCCTTTACTTCTTTTTCCCTGTCCTCTGTGTCCCATCCTAGCATCTCCACTGTTCTTTGATGAAAGTGCTTGGCTCATTTCTGCCTCAGAGTTTTTTGGGCTTGCTGTTCCGTCTGCCTCAAATGCTCTTCCCCCAGATCTCTGCATGGCACGCACCTTCACCCTCTTAAACATTTTGCTCCAATGTCATCTCAGTGTGGCCTTTGCTAACTACTCATTAAAAAGACTTACTCCTCTCCAGCACTTCGTATAGCCCTCCCATCCTTGTATTTCTTCATAACACATACCAATACGTGACATATAGTATACTTGATAGACTTGATTGATTTATTGTCCACCACCCTTCACTAGAACATAATCTGTGTCCTCAGAACTGAACAATGTATGGCAAACAGCCCGCAGTCTGTAAATTATACTATGCATTGATTGAAAGAGTAAATAAACATGTTTGGAGTGGCGGGGGTCTGTGTGTGAATGCCTCCTGCCCTGATGATGTTTGCAGCAGAACACTAAACTGCGTCTCCCCATGTGATTGTTCCTTGCCAAACCCCTTCTCTGGTGATCACTGAAAGTCACTAATTATGATCTCAGCTGTGTACTTTGTCCTTCCTTCTTTGTGGGGTGGCTTTGAGCTCCCATAAGGGCCAGGAGGGCTGTCCGTTCTGGAGCTTTGCTCTGCAGCATGATCAACATGGGTAATGTAGTGTTTAACTTTATATTTTTAAATCTCTGAGTAGAGCTCTTTACTAGAAATTAATTTGCCCAGGTTGTTGGGGTTTGTTTGCTTTCAGCTGCTGAGTTATTTCTTCTGTGTCTGAGTTCTTTCTTGCCTGTGCCTGGAGTTCTAGGAAAATGTTTTCTAGAATGCTAGAAAACATTGAGTTTGGTAAGTTATGTTACCTGAGTTTTGGTAAATTATGTTGTGTACAAAGGGCTCCCTCTAAAGTGTGGGCAGAAGTCTTATCATGCTTTAATTCTTTTAAAAGACACTTTTATGCTTTTTGAAATGTTTTAAAACTAACTTATTCTAGGAGCAGAAATCTTATAAAAGTGAATGAAGCTACAAATTGCCTAATAATACAAATCATATGGAAGTATTCTCTCTGACAGATGTTATGAACGATGGGCTCGGTGAACCACAGTGGTGTCAGAAGTGGACTAAAGATCAGGTGACCTAGCTAATTGATCTGTGTAACTTACTCATTGTGTAACTTCAGGCAAAGCATTCGATCTTTCTAAGATACCATTCTTCAATGTAAAGTGAAGACTCTAGGTCAGGGGTATCCAATCTTTTGGCTTCCCTGAGCCACGTTGGAAAAAGAAGAATATCCTTGGGCCACACATAAAATACACTAATGATAGCTGATGGGCTAAAAAATATCACAGAAAATTTCATAATATTTTAAGAACGTTTATGAATTTGTGTTGGGTCGCATTCAAAGCCATCCTGGGCTACATGTGGCTGGCAGAGTGCTGATTGGACAAGCTTGCTCTAGGCTATGGGTCTAGCTGATATCCGAGTTTCTTTTCATCTTTAAAACCCTAGACTAGAAGCCTAAAGCCTTTGATCTTAGCTTGGTTGCCGCCATTTCCTAGTACTGGAGTACATTTCCTAGGTAAGTCAGTTTCCTTCCTGGAGCCTCAGTTGCTCAGTCTTTAAAATGAGCACTGAGATTCCTATTTTGTGTGTTTCTGAGGGTATTGAGAGAATTTCATTTGGACACACAGATGGAAAAGTACTTTTTAGCCATACAGTCTTATTATTATTAGAAGCCATTTCTTATTTTACTGTGATTTTGTGGCCATATGCCAACAGAATGATTGGATAAAAAGTTAGAAGATGAAAAGTCAGTGCATATAGTACTGACGATTTTTAAATTGTGCTTTTAAAACATATTGAGTTTTTGTTTCCTTTTTGAATTTTTTTTTAAATCCCCACTTTACATCTTAAGTTCTTTACTTGAGCTTTGGGAAAGTGTTCATAGCTTTTATAAAATTTTTCAAAGGAGTATTTGATATACCAATTTTTTTCAACCCTGTGATTTTCTGTGGGTGTTTCCCCCTGGAATTCCTGAGAGGAGGAGATCTTTTCATGCTTCTTCTGATCATATATCCATTCCTCCTTGCATGGACATTAACTGGTAATACCCGGAGAATCACAGATGTCAAGAGAATGACTGTTTGCAGGACTAGCTTGCTGCTCTCTGGAAGCTGAAAGCTAATGGGCACCTAATCAAGGCTGGCTCATTTTTTAGGGATAACCCAATTACAAATCTGGATTAACTGACATACTAGTTTGGTTCTTGGAAGCAATTTAGTATTGTTTTGTCTTGATTTTGGTCTTTTTATCTCTAAAGAGTACTTCTAATTTAGACTATAAATTTTAATGAGCAAAGGTTGAAGTTCCCTCCAGAGAGGGAAAAAGCATTATTATTCAGGTTAGTGACCCCACAGCTCTCATCAGGTGGCTGGGCAAAGGTGCAGAGATTCAACAGATTGGACAGGAGGTGTAGTCTAGATTCAGCAGATGGGGAGGAGGCCTGGTCTGGGAGGTGTGGTCTAGATTCCTTAGCTAGGGAAAGAAGGTGGTGTAGGAGGTGTGGTCTAGATTGAATTGACAGGGAAGAGAGTGTGGTCTAGATTCAACATACAGGAAAGGAGGTGTGGCCTAGATTCAACAAACAGGAAAGAAGGTGTGGCCTAGATTCAACAGATAGGAAAGGGGGTGTAGTCTATGTTCAACAGACAGGGAAGGGGAGGTGGTCTGGATTCAACAGACAGGGAAAGAGGGTGTAGCCTAGATTCAGCAGACAGGAAAGGAGGTGTGGTCTAGATTCGACAGACAGGAAAGGGAGCGTGGCCTAGATTCAACAGAAAGGGAAAGAGGGTGTGGCCTAGATTCAGCAGATGGAGAAGGAGGTGTGGTCTGGGAGGTGTGGTCTAGATTCAACAGGTGGGGAAGGAGGTGTGGTCTCACCAGCTGGGGAGGAGTGGGGAAGATTGTAGGCAACTCGCCTACTAGCAACAGGTGCTGCTCTTTCACTATCATTCAGGATGGCAGTACCTGTAATAGGGCTGATCATCTAATTAAGATAGCATAATATAGAGCCAGAATTCAGGTGGTATTTACAAGATACAGAAAAGATCTTGGACTCAAAAGGCATGGAGTCCACTCCTATTTAGCTGGAAACTGTGGCTTATATCATCTCCAACCACGGTAAAATGAGGACAGCACCATGAAGATGAAATGAAAGCACGAAAGAGAAGGTATTTGGCAAACCGTGACAGTCGTTGTTAGAAAGGAAATGTCAAATGAGTGCACAGACAAAGGGGGACCCAAGGGGGTCCTCCTAAAAAACTGCAAGATCCTTTCCTTTCACTGTTGCTATGTTCTGACGAGGTTGGTTGTCTTCCTGTTAAATGAGAGGTGAGTGTGGAGTGGAGAAAGTGAGTTGTTTGGGCCTCAGGCCTCAACCTCCACTTGAAGCCTACACAAGCTCACCTTTGCTACCCTGCAGAGAAGGCAAAAGGAGTTAATGATGAAATGTCAGAAAGGCACTCGGGGCCTTTTAGAAATTCTCACCAGGTAAGATTGCACTCACATAATATCAAATATACAGAGCTGCCATGGTCATATCATTAATTATTTTATTGTTTTTATTATTAGTAATACTTCAAAGAGTCCATTTTAAAAAATATTGTTGGATATGCTTAAGTAAATGACCCTAATATTTCTTTTAAAGCTTCGCATAAGAGCAGGCTACCCAGAAGCCTTGTACTTGGCAAGCAGAAATGAACCTAAACTGTTTTCCGAATTTACCAAGTGCTTGCCTGAACAGACAAGGAGCCTGGGGGGATTTCCTGTGGGAGCGATGAGTTGTGAATCCCAATATAAGATGTGTGTTAAAAAAAAAAAAGAAAGCCTGTTCTAAGAGAGAAAAGAAGTTTCTGAGTGTTTGGCAAAACAAGGTATTTTTAAACTGAGAAAAAAATAGGATTGTGGGGATTTCAAAGATTTTGTGATTTTATTTATCAGCTAATATACATGTGGAGCTTTCTTGCGTCTTATTAGCACAAAGGCAAAGGAAGATGCGAGAGAAATAGAAGGCCATCTATGCCTTCAGGTGGCCTTCAGGCTCATTGAGGGACAAGATACAGGTAGATAAGAAATGACTATGAAGGCAGTATGGTTTTATGGAAACGTTGTGACATTTAGAATCAGATACACTTGGGTTCTAGATCTGGATTCACCATAGGAACGGGACCCGGGACTTGATACTTTATCACTTCTGTGCCTCTGTTTCCACCACTTCAAAATGGGAAGAATCATACTTACCTTCCCAGATTGTAAAGAAGTAACGGCATGGGGAATGTGTACACTGCCTAGCACAGAACATGAAGCCTAGTAGGTTCTCATTAAGGTAATTGCTTCCTTTTCTTCATTTCTCCCTTCTGTTTTATGCTCTGTTATAGGAGACATAAAGGCATGCAGTTCCTTGGGAATTTTGAAGAATCTAGGCTGTGATAGGAAATTCTTACTGGAGCGGGAGGGCTTCACCTGGGCCTTTGGCTGTCTCCTGCTTGCCCCTCCAGGGGCTCTCTCTGCCCCATTCTCCTGCTCTGAGAAGCTGACCTGTGTGGACTGCGTCCATCCCTCTTTCCTCTGTGGGCCTTCTGACCCTTTGGCCACTTATGGGGATTAGCCAGTGCTGGGTCCTAGCAGGAGGCTTAGGAGAGGAAAGGAGAGGTAAGTCTCTGTGTTTTTGATCTCCCTTTCAGCTTCTTTCTCCCTGCTGGCTGGCCTTGGGTTTGCTGCTTCCTAGACTGAAGGTCACTGCTCCTTTTAAGGAACTGTCTCTGCAGGGTTCCCTCCTGGTCTGGTAGCCTTTCCCTTCTCTCATCCCTTCAGGCCTAGCAGAGTAACAGTTCTGCTCTTCTCTCCCTGGGACACTGCACTGTCCTTTGGGGTTTCTCTTCAACCTAGCCCACTCATGTGTAAATAATCTCTTTATTAAGTCTTCAGAAATAATCCTAATGTGAGTGTGTCATCAGTTTCCCGCTGGCACCTCCAAAGGTGAGCTGAGTTTGAATAGGTGAGGAAGTGTGGTATTTGATAACCAAGGTGTGCTCTGGGGTCTGTGACCAACCCGGTCCGCCTATAGCTTGTATTTCACTTAGGGATGCTGACCTGAGTTGTGAGTTTGGGGAGATATACCGAACTAGAGCCTGAAGATCAGGCAAAGTGAACATATCAGATTTCACATCATAGGAGAAATAATTTTTTGGTATTAATAATTGTTTCCTAACTCATTTTGAGAAGTATGCATTAAGTAATCAATAGTTATATGGTATAGCAAATAAATGTCAGAAACACCTTTCTTTTCATTCCAAAGAGGTATATGCAAATGAAATAGAGGGAAGGGAAGGCAAACAATATGTAATGAACACCTTCTCTAATACCAGGCAATTTGCATATATTACCTTATTTATTCTACTCAGCAACGCTTATGGGTAAGGTACCAATTTCCAAGCTTTCCAGAGGTAGAAAGGGAGGCTCAAAGACTTCAAGAGATTTGCTGAAGGTCACACATCTGGGACTTGGTGGAGCTACAGTTGGAACTCCCAGGGCAAGTCTGTGAGACGGTGATGCTCATGGCTTTTCTTTGCCAGACACCAGATAACGGTGGTATAGTTTGGATCTGTGTCCCTGCCCAGATCTCATGCTGAATTGTAATCTCCAGTGTTGGAGGTGGGGCCTGGTGGGAGGTGACTGGATGCAGGACGGGGGGTGGATTTCTCATGAATTGTCGAGCCCCATCCCTCAATGCTGTCTTCACAATAGTGAGTGAGTTCTCAGGACACTTGATTGTTTAAAAGTATGAGGCACCTCCCCCACCCTCTCTCCTGCTCCTGTTTTTACCACATGAAGTGCCTGCTCCTGTTTTATCTTCCCTTCTGCTATGAGTAAAAACTTTCTGAAGCCTCCCCAGAACCATGAGCCAGATAAACCTCTTTTCTTATAAATTACGGAGCCTCAGGTATTTCTCTATAGCAACACGAGAATGGACTAAGGGTTCCGATGACAGGTATAGGAGCTTCAGGCTGTTTGTTGCAGGCCCCTACAATGAGGAGGACTATGGCATAGTAAGGCCATGAATAGCAGTAAGGCAGGGGGGAATTTTTCTGGAGCTAGGAATAGCCATAGAGCCTGGCCTCGTGAAGACTGGGTATGACTTTCTCACAGGAAGAATCCTGGGTATCTCTTGGGATTAGGTATTGTGTTGTTCCCGCTGCACAGGATTTTGTTTGCTCCCTGCCAATGGGTGTCTTCAGTTTCTAGTTCTACTGAAAATGATCTCTTTCCCCTTTCTAATTATCTATTGTTTCTTTACCTAGTGGCTTCTGCTAGTCCTCACTTCTGCTAACTCACAACTTCTGCAAAGTCTTGGCCTTGCTGCCTCCTGGCTTCTGCCTCTTCATCTGGGCTCTCTACCCGTGGATAGAGTCTGCATTAACAAATTGAAATTCTTGAAAGACAGAATATGCATATCTTTTTATATATCCAACTTGGATGTAGTTCTTTCTGTCAGACCGAACTGTGACTGCTGGTCAGGCAGCAGATTGTCCTTGGGGAGGGATCTGTCCTGGGCCCAGCCAGCTGGGACTTGACTGGGGTGAAAGGCAGAGCAGGGCAGTAACACATACAACTCCTTTGCCATGTGACAGACAACATGTTCACAGGCTCCAGAAGCTAGGGAGGAGGCATCTGTGGGGGTCACCGTTCTGTCTACCACTGTCGGCTCTCCCACCCAAAGATCAGCGTTCATCCTTCATGCAGTATATATCCCCCCATCCCAGGATCTCTCTGGTCTCTTCTGTTCAAAACCTCGAATGTCATCTAAATCTCAGGAGTTCAAAAGCCCCAGTTTTCATTATCTCAGTCATCTACATCAGGTTCCAGTGATTAGGGCTTGGGCATCTTTGGGGAGGGGCATTTCTCTGCTTTCCACCAGCGCTTACCACTGTGAGATAAACATTTTATGTGGATTACATCATTTAATACTATAGTCAGATGTGGCATGTATTCAGTCATGGCATTTTGCAGTGAACATATTCAGGTTTGTGGGAGTTAAATAACATTCCCAACCCTACCCAAGTGAGAGGGGTCATGCCAAGTTCTCTTAACCTTTATTCCTGTGTTTGCCAAATGTGACTGCATTTTAGAATCACCTGGGAAGCTTTTAAATCTCCTTTTGCCAAGCTGGGTGCAGTGTCATGCACCTGTAGTCCCAGCTACCTGGGACATTGAGGTGGGAGGATCCCTCAAACCCAGGAGTTGAGACTGCAGTAAGCTATGATTGTACCACTGCACTCTATCCCGCAACAGAGTGAGACTCTGTCTCTAAAACATAAAATTAAAGAAAAAAAAAATCCCAGTGCCCATGTGGCACCTCAAACCAATTAAATAAGAATCCAGGGATGGGCAGCAGCTCCTCAGGTGATTCCAGCTGTAGCTCCCATTCGGGAGCTGCCCACCGTGCTCTTCCTCGTAGGTAGCGGTGTGGTGTGTAAGGAGTGAGTGCAGGTAGGTGGCCAGGGAAGGCTTCCTGTGCAGGGGAGTTTGAGTTTGTCGTGGTTCGCAGGGTGAAACGCTAAGGAGACTTTTCCATGTTGCTGATTTGCCCATTACTTTCCAAGTGTGATTGCATTTCTACGTTTCTGTGAGATGGTTCCAATAAATACATTCACAAATCGGGAAACAACAACAAAAAGACATCCTTTGTCAGGGCCTCCATTCTCATTTATGGCTTCAGGAAAACACGGTTATCGCTGTTGCGTGTGCTTTTTGTCAGGGAGATAATTGTGGAAATTCGGTTGCTCCCCGTCAAGTGCAGATCCTTTTGTGGAGAAAATTTGAGCCATCCATGTATCCATTTTACAGTAATTGAGATTTAGCAAGCTAAAGGAAGATGATGGCCCTTTTTGTCAAAAGAAAGGCGGTAAAAATATGTTTGAGGGGAGCGAGAAGAAAAATAGGTTATCAGTGATGAGAGAAAGGCTGCCACCTGTCTTTCTCTTCCCTCCAGAAGGAGAAGGTGGCATCTATTAGCAGGGACCTTGAGTGGGTCCAGCCGGTAACACTCTTACAGGAGGAATCTGTCATTGGGACCCAGACAGTCACTGAGAGTTGGATGGTTCAAGATGAGTCCCTGCCCAGGGGCACTCGTGAAGCGGAACAGCTTGGGGACATCTGTTGCACTAGCTAGGCTTGGTACTTAAGGTGTTGGTTCTGTTCTCTTTCTGGTTGTCAACTTTGAAGATAATGAAATGCAGCTTGTGGAAGGGAAAGTAAATAATGGCGGTATATATTTTAGGTAAATCAGCAGGTGAAGCTGCCAAATGGGGCATTTGTTTATTTAAAATCCCCTTCACAGGGAGGCCGGTGTTAAATACTTGTCTTTTCTCCCTGCTAGACCCTAGGGAATAGCAATAGTTCACGTTGCTCAAACACTCTGTGGAGGAAACAGGGATGAGCACAGGGCGTTCGGTCTCCAAGAGCAAATAAACACAGTATGCCTGCCTCCC